AAATCCCCAACGTGCAGCCTGCGGACCGTGTGGCTCACGTGCAGCCGCTGCAGTTCCCGGAGCAGCTCTGGCTGGTGCCGGGACCTGAGGTTCCAAGACCGGGCCTAGGTCAGGGCGGAGGTGGGGTGCAGCAGGGCCTGGCTGGCTCCTCGCCTCCTCAGCCTGGCTCACCCTGAGGTGTCCCCCTCCCTTTCCCCCCAGCTGCCTCACCCTGAAGTCTCGCTCACATCCACACACAGCAGCACCCTGTACTCGCCAGGGCCCAGCTCCAGCGGCTGCACGCCTCCTTCATTGGCACCCCTGTGGGGAGGAGAAGTTGGTGAGTGTCAGCTGGCCCCCAGTGCGAGGGCAGCGCCCCACTGAGGTGGTGAAACCAGCTGCTCAGCTGGAGGTGTGGAGGTGGGGGGTGGGTCTCTGCTATGCCGCTCCCACTCACAGCTCCTTGGAGGCTGCTCCTGGTAAGGCTGGTGCCACTGCAGAGGGCTCCTCTGGCCCGGGGCCCACAGGCAGCGAGCTCAAGCCCTCGGCCTCCGCCAGCTTCTGGGCCAGCTCCAGGCCCTCCGGGGTCAGCGAGTACCTGGGAGGTGGCAGAGTTGGGCACTAGTCTTGCTTCTTCACTCCGAGCTGGCGGGCTCCCCTGCCTCCCCCAGCCAGGCAGGCCCAGCCACCTCCCTGCACAAGGCAGCCCAGGCCCCGCTGCCCCCTGCTGTTCTTGGTCCATCTGCTCAGACTGGCTGCCTTTGGCCCAGCACTGCTGCTCAGGCCAGGTGTATGGTGTCCCAAAGGTTCTCTGTGCCTTCCCCTCTGAACTGCCTGCTGGTCAGACACCAGCCCCTCAGCCTCCCGGGGGTTGTCTCCTTTCACCCAGGCCCTGCTTGGCCTCTCCCAACCTCTGGGCAAGTCCCTCAGAACATGGCCTGGCCCTGCTGGGTGACTGCAGGCCCCACAAGCCTCACACGCTGGCCTCGGCCCCAGGGGTGGGCCCCACCTGGCTGGCTGGTGTGTTCTGAAGACCAGGTTCCGGTGGAGGAGGGATCGGAGGGCGGGCCAGGGCCGGGCACTCTCAGAGGCCATCTGTTGACAGAGGAGGTGGTCCTCTGAAGTTGTCCACATTCCCTCCGCCCCACCCAGTTTGTGCCAGAGACGGGCAGGCTGACGGGTGGGGACCCAGGCTTCGGGTCAGGCCCAGAGTGGCTCAGTGCCACCACCCCCACACCCTCCCCAGTACTCACCCCGGGAACCTTCTGGGCACATCCCTGCAGCAGCTCCTCCTTCGTCAGGAAACTTCGGCCACACGGGCTCTGAAGCCAATGCAGAAAGACCAGGGGTGGGGGCTCAGTGGCTCAGTGATCCTGGCTGCCAGGTCTTGCCCACCCCGCCTCTGTCCCTCCCTGGGGGCTCACCAGGTGCTCCTGGTAGAGCAGCAACAGCACAACCCGGGCTCCAGAGTGCCGTGTCGGCCAGTAGCCGCCAGGGCCCCTCGGCTTGGGCTGGGCTGGAGCCTGAGAAGGAGAAAAGGGCTCTAAGGGCAAAAGCCAGTCAGTCCTTGTGGCCGGACCCCCGCTGGGCCAGGACTCCTGAGGTCCAGCTTCTGTTCCAGAGGGCCCGGGGCCGCTCAGTCTCCTGCTCTGAGAAACGGGCCGAGGTTGACAGAGCCCCTGCAGAGATGGGATGAGTCAGCCGACCACTGTGGGGTAGGGGCAGGTGAACCCCTGAACAGCTGTTCTGTTTACTGCCCCAGCTACAGATGGGAAAGTGGCTGAGTGTAGCCAGGTTGTGGGGTACCAGCCCCCACAATGGAACAGGTCCGAGGGCGGTTGTATCATGGTGGGGTAAAATTAAAGAGACATCAGGCAAGTTAAGGCAGGCACGTGCTCACCTCCGGGACTGCCATGACTTCAGGAGCCAGGCCGGGGCAGAGAGCGAGAATATGTTTCCAACCAAGGCTTATACACACTCGGGGGGCTGCAAGTCCCCCTAATTACAGGTAAGCACACACATAACAAGGGGGCTGTACCCGAACCCTAAAGGTCCCCGAGGACAGAGGAGGAGTAACCCACCACCAGGGCAGGGCGGGGGGAGCAATAACCGTGTCTGCTCCTACAGTTACAGCTGCGGCTCCATAGCCATCAGCCATGTGCTTGTCAGGGGTAACTTCAAAGTAGCGCTGCTGTGGGAGGAGGAGATACTGGGGAACAGTAAACTGAGAATGTGATGGGGACTCACCTCCAACTCACCCGGGGGAAGGCCTCCCTCCACCCCTGAACCCCGCCTGCCAGGCCTCTTAGTAGCTGAGAAGAAAGCATCTGTCCGCGTACACTCTGTTTCCGTTCTCTGCCTCCCACACCAGGTTTCACTGATGCTGCTCTTTGGACCCAAAACACACACTTACTGCCACCCCACCTGGTATTTCAGAGGCCGTAAGTCTTTCCCAGAGCGGAAGCCTCATCTTTCTCCTGCGGTACTGGGGGGTTTGAACAGACCTCGTTGCGGTCCCTGCCAGCATTCTCAGGGCCTGCTTAGTTCTAAAGCTATGAAAACAAAAACTAAACAACCTCTACTCAAACTCCTTGCTACCAAGTTGATTTCAAAGCACAGCAAACTGAGAGGATAGCGTCGTAGAATTGCCTCTGCCGTTCAGAAACCCTAAGTCAGGCGTCCTCAAACTATGGCCCGCGGGCCACATGCGGCCCGCTGAGGACATTTATCCGGCCCACCAGGTGTTTTTGCCCCGTTTGGTTTTTTATTTCAAAATGAGATATGTACAGTGTACATATCTATAGTCTGGCCCTCCAACGGGTCCGAGGGACAGTGAACTGGCCCCGTTTAAAAAGTTTGAGGACCCCATGCCCTAAGTCTTTGTTAGTGCGGTCGGGCGGTGTCCAACTCAATGCAGCCTTTTCAAACCAGATAAAAAAAAACCCTGCCTTGTCCAGTGCCATCCTCCCAATTGCTGTTATGTTTGTGCCCCTTGCTGCAGCCGCTGTGTCAATCCATCTCATCCAGGGCTGCCGCCCTTCTCGCTGCCTCCCTGCTTTACCAAGCACGATGGACTCAACCCGGTCTGTACTGGTAACGTTGTCCTTGCTTCCAAGGAGCAGTCTGGCTGTTCTTCCAAGGAAGGTCTTTCCGTGGTCCTTTCGGTACTCATCACCAACGCAATTCAAATGCACTGGGTTTTCTTCAGTCTTCCTATGCACCGTCCAGCGTAACATGCACACGAGGCAACTGGAAAGACTGCGGCACAGCTCAAGCACACCTTAGTCCTCAAAGTGGCGTCCTTGCTCTTCAATACTCTAAATTAAAGTCTTGCGTAGCAGATTAACCTAATGCACCCCCTCATTTGACCTGTGATTGCTATTCCCATGAGCACTGATGGCATCAAAGCAAGATGAGATCCTTGATGACTTCAGTCTTTCTTCACTTATCACAAAGTTACCTATGTGCCCAGGTGTTAAGATTTTGGTTATGTTCACATGGAGTTGTAATCCAAACTGAAGTTGCAATCCTTGACCTTCATCAGCAAGTCCTCCTCACGCCAGCTAGCAAAGTTGTATCAACCGCATATTAAAGGTTGTTAAAAAGTCTTCCTCTGATTCTGATGCCACATTCTTCTTCATCGAAGTCATTTTCTCTGATGATTTGCTCAGCAAATCTGAATGAACAAGTACGGTAAGTGGCTACACCCCTGAGGCATACCTTCCCCAATTTTAAACCATGCGGCATGCCCTTGCTCTATGTGCACAACTGCCTCTTGATCCAGGTATAGGTTCTGATTGAGTACTATAACGTGTTCTGAAATTCCCATTCTTCTCAGGACTATTTGTAGTTAGTTATAATCTAGACAGTAGAAAGCCTTTGTATAGTCAACAAAACATAAACACCTTTCTGGTAGTCTCTCAATCAAGGTCCATCTGACATCAGCAATGATATCCTCTGTTCCACGTCCTCTTCTGAGTCTGGGCTGAACCTCTGGCAGTCAATGTGCCGCCTAACTGTTGTTGATCTTCAGCAAAAACTTAACTTGCAGGTGACAGCAATGGTAGTGTCCTATAATTCTGAGCATTCTGTTGGGTCACCTCTCTTTAGAATGGATACAAATATGGATTCTCTCCCAGTCAGTTGGCCACATGGTGTCTTCCAAGTTGGTGGTGAAGTGCTTCCAATGCTTTGTCATTTGCTGAAACATTTCAATTGGCGTTCCATCAACTCCTGGAGCCTTGTTTTTGGCTAATGCTTTCAGTGCAGCTTGGACTTCTTCCTTTAGTACTATTGGTCCTAGTGGACTAGTTTTTTTGGTACAGTGACTCTGTGTTCTCTCCATCTCCCTTTGATGCTTCCTGCATCGTCCAATATGTTGCCCAAAGTAAACCAAATGGATTTACAGGAGTAGAAAGCCTCATCTTTCTACAGTGGTTTCAAGCTTCTGATTTTAGCCTAAAGTGTAACCCATTAAGCTACCAAAGCCCCTCTGAATCCCAATGTTTCCGCAAAACCAACGCCCCGAAGGCAATTAGTTACACTTGCTTTACTTCCGGCACTCCCCTGTCCTGCCACACCTCCTTGTTCTGTGCTCACCCGCTTGGAAAGGTCCTGGGCTTCCAAGGGTGGCCCTTCCAGGGCTGAACTCTTCTCTCCAGATGGCGAGGCCGGGGCATGGTCACCTGCGGGGGCACAAGTGATTATTCACCTGACCAGCCTGCCGGGGGATCTGGCCTGCAGGGTCGGGCTCCAGCGGCCCGGGAGAGGGTCGGAGGCTGCCAGCCCCTAGGCCCAGGTCCAACGCGGGCGAGGGAGGGGGACGCCGGCAGCCAGGGTGTCGAACGCTGCACCTGGTGGCGCAGAGGTGGACCGACCCTGGGCCCCCGCGCTCACCGCCCGAGGCTTGGTGCTGCTGCAGCCGCTGGTCCAGCATCCGGCAGAGCCCGTCTCCGAAGTGCTGAAGGATCTTGGCCTCCTTCCCGCTGCGCAGAGGGAGCGGGTACCGCTGGAGCGAGCGCAGCGCCTGCGGGGCATGTGGTCAGCCCGGCCTGGGGTCCATCCAGCTCGGCCAGCGCCCGCCCCCAGCACACCGGCCCGTCCCCACCTTCTGAAACACGAAGCGCGTGCGGCGCCCCCTGCTGGCCGCCTC